GCAGCATCTGCATCACCAAATTGTTCCAAGTGTCCTGCATGAAGCCATCTCTTTTCTTTTCTCCCGCCTCAATCCTGCCTGCTGCACCTGCCTGCAGATGGGCCCGCTCAGTTTGCTGATGATGGGCCTCATCGCCTGCCACTGTATGCACATCCTGGTCAGGTGTGCCCAGCACTTCTGCCGCAGGTGAGGAGACAGAGCCCTGTGTCAATCCCTTGGGTATGTGGTGCTTGGGAACATCCCAGAAACGTCCTACACATCAGGAGACCTTCCTTGCTCACCTTCTCCGTGACTGCAGAGGAAAGGAGAAGAGCAGAAGCTCAAGAGAGAGAGAGAGAGCTCAGTGACAGAGTATTTACCTAGCATGTAGAAGGCCTGGATTTGATTCCCAATGCTATAAAAATAATAACCAAGAAAAGGGAGAGTTTTGGCTTTGTTTTGGTTTGGTTGGGGGAAGGCATGTCATTCCTCAGATTTCATATCCTAGACTATAAAAAAGCAAACCCTCCTGAGACCAGTCCCCAGGTGACCCAGGTCACTGCTTTCTCAGAAGTTATAGGGACTTCGTGACTTTTCCTGTCCACCTCCCCCTCTTGTCTTGGAACCTCATCCTGCGTCTACCACAACTGATGACTCAGTTGGCCTCTGGGCCTCAGTTTCCTCCATGATGAAGCAGGACTATCTCTTTACTCCCTTGTGCTGGGTTTGGCTCCAAGAGTTCAGGAGAGGTAAAGGACAGGATTCTGAAGTAGCCCTGGCTTCCAACCCTGGCTCCCCAGTATATCCCTGGACAAGTCACTTAAGCAACATCTCTGTGCCTCTGTTTTCCATCTGCAAACTAAAGACCGCATCACTGCCTACTTGATCAAATTGCTCTGGCGGTTTGAATAAGAAGTGCCCCTCCCCACATAGGCTCAAGTATTTGAACACTTAGTTGGTGGCACTGTTTGGAGAGGGTTATGGAATCCCTAGGAGGTGTGATCTAGCTGGAGGAAGCACATCATTGGGGATGGGCTGTAAGAATCCATAGCCTTACCTCCTGTGCTTGCTTGAAGATAGGAGTTCAGTTTTCTACTCTGGCTTCCTCCTGTCACGCCTCCCCGCCATGATGGGTTCTTATCCCTCTGGAACCAGAAAGTCAAATTCTTCCTCCTGTAAGTTGCCTTGGTCATAGTGTTTTAATCACAGCATTCTATGGTTAATGCTGTGTAGCATAGACTGAGCAGGAGCTACTGATGTTAGAACAATTCTGGATGCCCTAGGATGACTGGTCACCCTTTAGGGGACCCAGATGTACCAGACTAGGCAAGAGGAACTTCAAAATATCTAGAAACTCACCTGCCCAGCTTAACCAAAGTGTTGGTGTGCTGTGAAGGTGCGACTGCTGGATCCCCTGCTGTCCCCCTTCATGTACCCTCACACCGTGTCCTCCTCCTCCTGTAGAGCATTCCAGACATTGATTCACCTGGTCAAAGGCAACATGGGCACAGGGATCCTGGGACTTCCCCTGGCTGTGAAGAATGCGGGCATCTTGGTAAGAGGGTCAGCTGGGTGGGGCAGTGGGAGGAAAGGGCAGGAGAAGAGGCCACGATTGTTTAAAACACCCTGCAGTGGACAGTCTTTCAGGGAAGCAGCCAGCATAGGCTGAAGTCCAAACACTGAGTCTGGATCTGAGTTCCGCCTCACCCACAGGCTTGACAAGTCATGTCAGAGACCATCAAGGGGACATGTGGTCAGGATTCTGAGTCTCCTACTCCCACCACAAAATTCCATTGCAGTCACATTGCATACTTTTGGGAGTACCTCTTGAGAAGGCTTTTTAGAAAGAATAGCTGTTGCTGTTGAAAACGACCACTCACATCAGTTTTCTAGAAAGTTCTTTAAGGTCCAGTGAGATGGCTTAGAAAGTAAAGGCACTTGCTGCCAAGCCTGACAACCTGAGTTTGCTCCATAGGCCCACATGGCGGAAGGAGAGAACTGACTCTTGGAAGTTGTCCTCTGACCTCCACACATGCACTGCAGCATGCGCAAACCCCACACACAAATAAGTAAATAAATGTAATGAACAGAGAGAGTTCTTTGAGTCCTTAACAGCATCTGCATCACCAATTGTTCCAAGAGTGTCCTGCATGAAGCCATCTCTTTTCTTTTCTCCCACCTCAATCCTGCCTGCTGCACCTGCATGCAGATGGGCCCGCTCAGTTTGCTGATGATGGGCCTCATCCCCTGCCACTGTATGCACATCCTGATCCTGGTCAGGTGTGCCCAGCACTTCTGCCGCAGGTGAGGAGACAGAGCCCTGTGTCAATCCCTCGGGTATGTGGTGCTCGGGAACATCCCAGAAACGTCCTACACATCAGGAGACCTTCCTTGCTCACCTTCTCCATGACTGCAGAGGAAAGGAGAAGAGCAGAAGCTCACTGAGGGTGGGACCTCCAGGGAGGCTCTGCACGTGGCTCTCAGGGGTCCTCCATCAGGCCTTCGTACTTGTCGGGTTGACTCACCTACATAATGGATGGGAATACTCCTTGCCTAATCCTGCCTGAACATTCATTGGGAGCCATGGGTCTGGGAACTGCCACACCTGGGCATGTGACAGTAGTCATCCTGAACCTGGGTGGCCTCGCTCTGTATCTCTTGACTTTTTAAATCGTGGTGTGTGTGTGTGTGTGTGTGTGTGTGTGTAGGTCTGTCTGTGTAGAGGTCACACTGTGGAGGTCAGAGGACAACCTAAGGTATCAGTCCTGGGTCCTCACCTTTTGCCTTGTTTGAGGCAGGTCTCTTGGTGTCTGCCAGCCTGGCTGGTCCACAAGCTTCCAGAAAGTCTCCCATCTCTGCCTCCCATCTCGCTGTAGGAGGGTTGGGATTACAGATGAGCACTTGTTACAGCATCCAGCTTTCACAGGGGTTCTTCAGGTTTGAGCTTGGGTCCTCATGCTCATACATCAGGTGCCTCACCCCTGAGCCGTCCCCCCAGCTTGGCCTCCTGACTTTGATAACATGATCTTAGGTTCAGCTGTCTCTCACAAAGACATACGTGCTTTCTCCTGCAGACTCAACAAGCCCTTCATGGACTATGGGGACACCGTGATGCATGGACTAGAAGCCAGTCCCAGCACCTGGCTCCAAAGCCACGCCCACTGGGGAAGGTACCTGTTTTCACTTTGTTCCAAATGGACTAGGATGTGGGAGGAGACAGCAGAGCTGTGGGGAACAACTTCTTCCCTAACACAGTGGCACAGAGGGCGGACTCTCCCCAGGGAAGAGGTTCGCCAGTGACATCGCCAATTCCATCCTTTTGTCTCTGGTGACAGGGCGGTCCTTCGTGATGCAGCTTTAAGGCCATTCATTCTTCCATGAAGCCACGTTTATCCCTAGAAACACCACAGGGGACAAGACAGACAGCAAGGCTTTGCCCTTGCGTTACCCATAATCCAGTGGGAAGGACAGCCAGCTTAGAACGAGGTTAAGCAATGCCCACCGGGGTGAATATGATCAAGAAGTTCTGACTGCTACCGGCTGGGCAGAGGGCTCTGGGCCGAGGGTGGCTCTGCTGGGGCAGTTTCTGCAGAAAATAACTCCGCAAGACAAGGAGTCACTTAGGGGAAAGAAGGCAGGGCCTGGTGGACCTGCCAGGAAGGGAGACAAACAGAGGCAATGATGCCAAGCCAAGCAGGGCTGTGTGACAGGCACAGAGGACCAGGCAGCTCGAGTGAGGCCAGAGGGAGGGACAGCCCCTCCAGCCCTTCTGCTCACTGTGGGGCCCAAAAACCCATTCTCCATTTGGGGATTTTTCCCTCCCTGCCCCATTTTCTCCCCTTCTGTTAACTGGGCCTCCTTCACTATGACATCCCAGCGCTGACTTAATCCCAGCACTCAGGAGGCAGGGGCAGGCGGATCTCTGTGAGATCAAGTCCAGCTTGGTCTCAGTAGCAGGTTCCAAGCCAGCAGGGGGTACAAAGAGATCCTGTCTCAAAAAAACCAAACCAAATCAAACAAACAAAAGAACCATAATAATGAAATAATAATGAAATTGGTGAATAAATCTTTGTGGACTCAACGGCATCCTGTAGCCACCATCCCAACATCTAGTCAATATAATCACAGAATGCCCACTATGTACCTACAGTGAGTCAGTAGGGACTTTAAATAACAGGTGCAAACTGTGAGCTAGGTCGGCACCATCATACAGGCCCTCAAAGTCGAGCCTCAGAGACTGAGCCAGGCACTGGGGAAGTAACTCGGGATAAAATGCTTGCCCACAAGCATGAGGACCAGAGTTCAGATCCTCAACATCCATGTAAGAGCCACCTAGGCTTGGTGGCCCACTTGTAATCTTGGGAGGTGGTGACAGGATCCCTGGGGCAAGCTGACTAGCTGGGCTAGCCAAATCAGTGAGCGCCAGGTTCAGTGAGAGGCCTTGACTCAATAAAATAAGGTGAATCCCAGCACTCAGGAGGCAGAGGCAGGTGGATCTCTATGAGTTCCAGACCACACAGAGCTACATAGTGAGACCCTGTCTCAAAAAAAAAAAAAAAAAAAAAAAACAAAACTAAACTAAACTAAATGAAGTAGAGAGGTACTGAGGAAAACATCTAACGTCAACTTCTAATCTATTTCAAACACACACATACACACACACACACACACACACACACACCACATGCACATTCAGAAAAAGAAAGAGACCACCACCTCTGACTTTCCTCTGCTAGCCCATTCACTCCTTCCTCCCGGTCCCGGTCCTGTCTCTACTGTCTCTCCACTTTTATTGAAGTTCCTCCAACCGTGGTCCTAAGAGACCCCATCGTTGCACCTTCCTTACCCTAGGGACTGTTCCGGAGCAGAGGGCACAGGTCTTCTCTCCCTGCCTGGCTCTGCTGGCCTCTTCCCTCTGCTTCCCTCCCCTCGTCCTACAGCATCTGCCTGGGTTCCCCCGTGGCTATCGGACTCTGTTCTGGCTGCAGCGATGCTCAGCAGTTGAGAACACTTACTGTTCTTGCAGAGGGCGGGAGTTAGTTTGCTTCCCAGCACCCATGGCAGACAGCTCACAGCCACCTGTAACTCCATCTCCAGAGGATCTGGCTCCATCTTCTGGCCTCCTCAGACACATGGGCATACAACACAAGACACATACACATACATGTAAATTTTTAAATAGACTTTTAAAAGCGTGCCGCGGGATGCTCTCTGGGTCTCCTCTGCCACCGCACTTTCTAACCTTGATGCCTCCTTAAAGCTTCATCCAACCCAGCAGCCCCAGCTAAGGCACAGTTGTCCCCTGCATGTCTCCTTGTAGAAACTACAAGTTCAACAAACATGTCGTGTCTTCCGTTTTTCCGCAAGCTGTTCCTCCTTCTGAGGGTCCCAAGTCAAAACCAGGTACTTCGCCTTAGACCATTTCCCCCCACCCCGCCCCGGCAGATGATGGTCAAGGTCCGTAAGTTCAAGTTCCAGCTTCCTAGAACTTAGAGCGTTTTCCTTTTCTCTTCCCCTGACGGCCACAGTCTCGTCCAGGCAGCTGCCCTTCCTCACGTGCTCTTGTGCCTTCTGGCCTAAGTTTTGCTCCGCCAGCAGACTCCACACACAGCCAGCGGCAAAGACCACCTGCTCCCTGAAAGAAAATGCTTTCCTCGTTTCTTCTCTTCCTCCTCCTCCTCTCTCTCCCACTTTCTCCCTCCTCCTCTCTCTCCCACTTCCTCCTTCCTCCTCTCTCTCCCTCTTCCACCCTCCTCCTCTCTCCCACTTCCTCCCCCCTCCTCACTCTTCCTCTCTCTCCCACTTCCTCTCTCCTCCTCTCCCACTTCCTCTTTCCTCCTCTCTCTCCCACTTCCTCCTCCTCCTCTCTCTCCCACTTCCTCTCTCCTCCTCTCACACTTCCTCCTTCCTCCTCTCTCTCCCACTTCCTCCCTCCTCCTCTCTCTCCCACTTCCTCCCTCCTCCTCTCTCCCACTTCCTCCTCCTCCTCTCTCTCCCACTTCCTCCTCCTCCTCTCTCTCCCACTTCCTCTCTTTCCCCTTCTAAAAGGTATTTTGCTCATGTATTTTTTCCCATTGTGTGTGTGTGTGTGTTTGTGTGTGTGTCTGTGTGTGTATGCATGTGAGCATATGTGTGTGTGCCTGCTTTTGCATGCAGGTGGGCACATGTTGGGGGTGTACACATGTGTCTGCATGCATGTGGAGGTCAGAGGTTGATGAGGGGAGTTATCCTCACCCTCTCCACTTTATTCATCCAGGCAGGGTCTCTGAGACATTTCCCCAGCCACGTATTGGTTTCCTAAGAAGGCTTCTTTCTGTCTTCTGTGTCCATAATTCTCATTCTCGTGCTCTTTCTCTCTCTCACTCTCTCTCGTCTCCCTCTCCTCCCCCATCTCTCTCCTTCCCCCTTCCTTCCCCACCTGTCTTCCTCTTCCTCCCTCTCCCTTAGGATAAAGATTAGGGACACATTATTGAGATTTACACATTTATTGAGACTTTTCTCACAGACAACCTTTGCTATGCTTATTTTTGAGTGTATGTTCATATAAACTAATGAATTTCATTATAACACAATGTCCTTTCTTTAACCAAGCCCTTAGGGGCCATATTATAATGCTAATTTCTTAGCATCTATGTGTATGTGCATGTTTGTATATATGCATGCATATGTCTGTGGCGGGCACTCATGAATGTGTGTGTGCACATGTGTGAAGGACAGAGGTCAGTGTCAGGCATCCCCCTCAATCATGCTACACATTTGTTTGTTTGTTTGTTTGTTTGGTCTTGTTGAGACAAGGTCTCCTTGTAGCCCCAGCTGGCCTGGAACTCACTGCGTAGACCAGGCTGGCCTCAAACTCACAGAGATCTGCTCTGCCTCCTGAGTACTGGGATTAAAGGCATGTGCCACCACGCCCGGCTCTACATGTTATTTTTTTGAGACAGGGTCTCTCACTGAACCTGGAATTCACTGATTTGGCCTGACTGGCTGGCCAGCCAGCTCCGAGGATGTGTCCACCTCCACCTCCTGCTGGGATTATAGGCACACCACCATGCCTGGCTTTCTCCATGGGTGCTAGGGACTAGAACTCAGGTCCTCAAGCTTGTGCAGCAAGCACTCGACCAGCCGCACCATCTCCTCAGCCTCTACGATGCTAATTTCTGTCCACCAGTCTCTAAAACTACCAGAGGAATGGGCCCTGTCTTACTATCTATCTTCAGTACCTAATGAAGTGTCTGACACATGGTAGAGAAAATATTTTACAAGTTATTGGCAGTCAATAAACACCTTGTGTTTGCTGTCCCACACAGTGAGTGGCAGACGTAAAGAATGCCACAGAGCCAGGTGGGACAATGGCTTACACAAGGAACTCAGCCAGTTAATGTGCTATGCGTGTGGGGGTGTTAGAAAACCATCTTTTAGAAAGAGCTGTTGGGTTTAGTGATGAGGCAGTAGGGAGGTACTGTGAGGGTTCTACGTGGGCCAAAAGGCTGGGCTGTGAGTGGGTGGGCAGCCGTCGGTGATAACATCCCACTGTTTGCAACACCCACTGTTTGCACAGGTTAGACTGCTGATGCCGGTCATGGGAATTGGAGTCTGAACTGACTGGAGGAGAAAAATAAAATAAAATAATAAACAAATAAATAAAAAGAGCTGTTGGGGCTGGAAAGATGGCTGAGTGGTTAAGAGCATGTCTGCTCTTGTAGAGGACTTGGGCTCAGTTCCCAGCACCCTACATGGCAGCTAACAACCATCTGTAACTCCAGTTCCAGGGAATGCAATGCCTTCTTCTGACCTCCAAGGGCATTGCAAGACACGGGTGCACGTAAATACATGCAGGCAATATACTCGTACACATAAAGTTAAAATAATAAAAAAAATATTAAAAAGAGCTGTTGTTACCTCCCTCCTCACTGCCCAGCTGTTGATTGTGCAGAAGGATAGGACGGGGTGTTGGTGTAGGACTGTTGTAGTTTGTTTTTCCATTGCTGTGGCAAAATACTCTGACCAATACCAATTTGTGGAGGAAAGGGTTTATTCAGCTTACATCTCCCAGGTCACAGTTCATCAGTGAGTCCAAGGTAGGAATCCAGGGCAGGAACCTGGAAGCAGGATCTGGAGCACAGGCCATGGAGGAACACTGCTTACTGGCTTGCTCCCCTGACCCCGGCTCAGCCTGCTTTTTATGCAACACAGCCCATGTGCCCAGGGGTAGCACCACCCACAGTGGGCTGGGCCCTCCCACATCACT